ATATATATATATATAGATATAGATATATATACACACACACACCCACCTTACAAACTTCAGCTAAGCATTTGGTTGTTTTCAGTTATTACTATCTATCAATCATATTTTACTGATCAGTTCGGTTGCAAACCATTTATCACATGCAAGTATTAACTTGATAATCACATAGAGATTAAACATGTACACAGGGCCATTGGGAAGTCGAGCTGCAAAAGCTATTGGATTCATTGAAAAGATGATAGATTATTCATACTCTAATGCACCGCTGCAGAAAGAATTGCTCGCAGGTCAAACTTCTTAACTTAATTAAATCATTGCTACTTTATCTTATTTTAATCAAGCGCAATGAGTGTCACTTTCTTCCCATTTCCTTACCATGTTTTTTATATCAAATAAAATACCTTCTACAGATGAAGTTGGCAACACAGCAGCTTTCTTGGTATCCCCACTAGCTTCAGCAGTGACGGGTTCTGTTGTGTATGTGGACAATGGTCTGAACACCATGGGATTCGCAATCGATAGCTCAACGCTAGCAACATAATCGTAGGGATAAAAAAGAATAGAGGTTTCGACTTTTGTTTCTTTTGCGGCTTTGTCACCATTGAATAAAGAGTGGGATTGTCTTGGTGCATTTAGGGTTCAAGTCATTTTACTTAGCACTTGCTAGTGGAGTAATTAAAAAGTCAAACGTGTTCAAACTATTTTTAGTCTAATTTATGATGTTAGTATGCTTGTTTTCTACATTTCATAGGCATCTATTTTTGTTGAGTTTTTGTTTAGTTGGGTGTCGTGGAAAGCATAATCATGAGATAAAATGTTTTGGGCTAGGAGGGAGATTTAGTCTCTTATCATCTATTTTCCTTCAATATAATTTTCATCGTTTGTCTTTCGTTGGTATATATTTTCATCGTTCACTTTTCGTTGGCATATGTTTTCATCGTCGGTCTTATATATTTTCATCTTATGTATTTTGTCAATGTATATTTTTATCATTCTTTCGTAAGTATGTATTTTCATCGTTCATCTTTTATCGATTTATATTTTTATCATATGTTTTTCACTATATATATTTTCATCATCTATGGTCATATATTTTTGTTGTTTATCTTTCGTTAATATATATCTTCATCGTTTGTCTTATGTTGGTATATATTTTTGTTTGCCATCTTTTGTCGATATATATTTTTATTATTTATTTTTTTATTAATGTATATTTTTATAAATATTTTTTAATCTCAAAAGTATTTGATGATCATATACGATTTGACTTTCTTTGTTATTTTAATTATTTTATTTTTTCATAGAGTGAAAGCATGATGGGTAAAATGATAAAGGTCATTGAGAGTTGTGTGATCATTGAATTTTTTGAGATAGTTTAGAAAAATGATATAAAAAAATTAATGTTATTGAGAAGAAGATGTTAGGATTGATTGATGTGTTGAGTTATTATGAAATATAAGATATTTTAATATAAAAAAAATATTTTATTCATGAATAATTATGAAACAAAGATGAGGAGATATTTAATGGTACAAGAATATGATATTTAGAAAAGAAGAAATAATTAATATTAATGATACGGGAAGATTTAAAGAAGATTATAAAAAAATTTAATAAAAATTATAAATAAATATTAAATATTTTAAATTTAATTAAATATATGAATTTTTATAGATTTTAATAACGATAAAAGATTTAAGCAGTAAACTTTAAATAGTTAGGACATACACGATTTTATTGTTGTTGTTGTTATTTATCATCCATCAAATTATAAATACGATTATATACAATTATAAATTTATTTCTTTGACAGGGATAATATTTCTAATTTGAATTAAGAAATAATCTTCAGTTGTTAAAGATGAATCTTCCGATTCATAATCTTCAATCAAAAATACTTTTGATTTACGTCATCTTTTATTTTCTGTATTTGGTTTGTTTTTCTCCTCTCTCACAATTCATTACATACGCCAAAATATTACTAAACTTTACATTTATTTAAATAAAAAATAAACTAATTGGTTGGCATCACAAGTTAGTATTTCATGACATTCCCAAACTCACAGTATAAATAGTTGGGTTAATTAATTAGTCAAAAGAACGAATGTCAATAATACATGTGGTATGAAGCTATTAAGACATTGGAAAAAAAATCACTGGACTCTTACTTTCTCCAAAGATAGCTGAACAAACCATATGGCTAATATATACATGTCCTTATTCTACTGAGACGCCTAGGCCTCCAAAGCTTTGCCAAAGTTCAATAAAATGTAAGTTAACCTACCACATCATCCATTGCAAAAGTTCTATGCGGCATTAGCTCTTCCCCAGCAGCAACAGAGTCCATCATCAACTGCAAAAACATAACATGAATCAGGAAGAATCAAATGCAATCATAGTGACATCTTAGAACATAAAAGTGACAATCTAGTACACAATAATTCTACTGATTTCTGTTTACAATCTTACCCCCTATGATTGTTTACCAATTCGAACATTATTAAGATCAAGAAGAAGCAGTGCAGCACTAAGGTTGTGCCATAGAAATCAATAAATTTTTAGACGCCCAAGAACTGGCAATTCTGCCCATATTCCTCTTAAACCAGTCATCTAAGAAGTTCTTCATTCACTTCGTAACGTTTGTAATATATATAAAAGAAAAGTTAGTAGAACCTGGTTAAAGAAGCAATACCTTCCAGTCTTTAAAATCGAATCTGAAAATGAAATGACTGTACGATACTTCGCCAGATGCCACTGCAGAGGCTTTGGGAGCATTTCTTGGAGCTAACCATGATCAACAAGTATGTCAGAAGCAATGCAACCGAATGTGTTTGAGAATGTGACCAAAGATCAAGATGGAGTCCAAAAGAAAAAGGCAGCATTCAAAGATGAAAGACCTACAAACTAGGTGATGCCCACTATCATCCACCGTAATCTCAGCTCTTCCATCCTTAACAAGAAATGAGAGGGCAAATATATTCTCTACAGTCTCGGAGAAAGATCCCCTGTTCAGCACTAGATTTTCCAGCCTTACGTTTCTCTTCCTCCGTAAGATCTCAAATATGGTTGACATATTCTTTTCGGTATCAGCCTTCACCTCAGACCCAGCATCAATGAGCTGTAAGTTCATGAAAGAACGACATTGTTTGAGTGAAGCATGTAAACAATCGCAATCAACTTCAACAAGGCTACAACTTATGTTCAGACCTACCCGTCACTACCAGATTCAATGCAGGGGAATCAATTGCCACAAACATTAGCAGTATAATGTAATTGCCACAGTAAAGATGTTCTTCAGATAACAGCAGACCATATTCTATCTAAAACATTATGAGCAGCTGCAAATCCATTAAATCTTGCAGTGTTTTCTTACTGATATGATGCACTTAATGAATTTAACAGCAAGCATAGACAACAAAACTCGATAAAAAAAAGTGGTCCTTCAGAAACCATGTAATAGTGCTCAATATAGTAAATAGTAAATTGAATGATTAAATATCAAAACATAGATATTCAAAACTTGTAGAAGATTGCATATTAATATATTCTGTAGCAAGCATAGAAAAACAAATACTTGACAAAAGAGGTCCTTCAGAAATTACAGAAAGTTGCCTAAAATAATAAATTATGTATTTGATAATTCAAACTCCAAAGAGGAGTAGCAGTTATGATGCAGCTAAATGCATGTCGACGACAAGCCAAGACAAATAACAGATAACCAGTGCTTGAGAAAGTACATGATATTGCCTGGAAACAAATGAATAGATTTTCATATAATAGATATCTAAACTTCAAATCTTTACATCTAAAGAGAAAATGTTGAATAGAAGTAACAATGTAGAAATAGTGTGACACTCTTCTTTTTCCAATATAATTATTAACTATTACAGCTCAAAGAAAAATATTGACCAATATATTAGGATAAAGAGATGAAAATATTTTGACAGATAAAAAGGATCTAAACAAACAACACCTGATACCTCATCAGGATGACTGCTTTCAGTAGCCCTTGTTCGTTTTCTCTGAACAACCACCTTGCGCTGTTTCAATTCAGTATACATGGGACCGATCCTGACATTGTGAATAACAAATGAGAAGTAGAATACAGGCAACAATATCTAGGATCTACTTATTTTGAAACTATTTGAAAGCCAAACCAGAACACATTTCAAAGACCATGGGAATTTACAGTTTAGATTGGTCCATTACATCGTAGGGCATCCAGGAGCAGTCCTAAAAACATGAGAAGCTGCATGACCAATGTCATCCCAGTTGAAAACTAGAATATTCTCAATATTTGCTTCACCTTGTTGTTGACCAAAATTCCTTAGCAATGCAGTCACAAAATCAGAAGGTGTCACTCCATTGCTTGTTTGGGACCTAACTGAGGTTAACAAGGTGTTGGCAATGTCCAGTAGAGCCTCAGCATCTGCAACTTGTTCCCTAGGTCTCTGAACTGTAATGATATGCAAAGGAAAAGAGAAAAAAGAATCCAGAATTTTGTTATTCAAATCTCACTCACTTCAAAGCATTTAAGGGAGAAGAAAAGGAACAAGCCAACATTGTTCAATGTTAAAGCCATAAGAAAAACAATTCACCACACCTAAATGGATCTTCAGCATAATATATGCAGTTTTCATGTCACGCAGAACATCCCAAGCAAAGCACAGAAGCACTAAAGAGAACAGAAATTGTTCATGGATGATACTGTGGAGGCTGCCGTATCACAACTGAACAATGAACACAGCCAATAATCTAAAACACCGGAGCTCAGTTGTCATTATTGATCATGGCAGTCAAGCCAGCCACACAAGCAATAACTACTACTGTAAGCCTTCCATTCCAACTGTTCCAGGTGGGAAATTACCAAGAGGAATTGCTAAAAAGAATTACCACATCGCTCACTGTGATGAGACTACAAAAGCCCGTCAAACGACAAGCAAAGAGCATCGCCACTATGCGAGTCAGCGCTCGATCATGAGCATAAGTGGCATTTCGTGGGATACCAGTAACTCACGAAACAAGATCAGGTTGACGGGAATTAGAACAGCGTGAAGAAGGTTGGCAAGTAGGGCATAACATCGGGAGCTGAAAGATGAAATATACGAGGTAAAAACAACAAATCCTTGGAGGATCGGCAAATTTACCATGTTCATGCAAGCTTTCCACTTCCGTGATGATCGAATTAAACCTCTCCGATTTAGCGCTCGTGATATCCTCCCGTTTACCTGAAGCAGCGAAAACACAAATTAGCACAAGGGATTACCTAATTCGTTTACCTAAGAAGAGACGGCAGAAAAATCCGCACTGCTGATGAGGTTCTTGACAGCAATGTAACGAGATCGAAGAATACGGCGGTCTGCCGTCCCTTGCCGGCGCCGCCCGGCGTCGCTGCTGCCGCCGTGCTCGCCTCCCACCACCTCTGCCGCCGTCCCGCCCCTGGTTTCCGGCTTTCTCTTAACAGCCCTCGCCATGGGTCGAGTCTACAGCAGAGGAGCTATTATTGTTCGCGGAAGCCAGAAAGATCTCCCACGAGATACTCCGGCGTTGATCTCCCGACCGAGCCCTAATCGAAAACCCTAAAGAAGGCAGCAAAAGACGGGAGGACGAGAGGACGGGAAGAGGAGCGGTAGCTGATAGGGGATTCCGCAATGGGAGGATCGTTCGGATATCCCGCGCGCTGTTGCCGGGAAACTTGAGCGAGTTCGTGCGCGCATCGGAAGCAGTGAAGGGAACGGACTTTTTGCGGCTATGTAATATACGTCAATATGATCACAGCTGTTAAATACTTCATATTAGATATATCTGTGAACTGTATCGAAATAAAAACTCTAATGTGCGATATGATTATAGTTAAATCCGAACGCAAAATGAAATGATAGAAAAATGAAGAAAATGATGATATTATGAGGTACACAAAATGATAATGATAATCAAGGGTACTTAAATGTTATGGGGTCCATTCTCCAATTTTCTAATCCAATCGATCAATCTAACCCAGGTTTCATATCATCAAGGGATATTGATGAGATGTGGAATCAAACTATCATCCTCATGTTCAATCAGATGAGAGTTATTGGTGAACCTCTACATCATGACTGAGGTGTCAACACGACTTAGTCCAATCCTGAATGCTCAACACGACTTGGTCCAATCCTGAATGCGTAAGGTTGCCCACGCAAATGTTCAAATGGAAGAAGTGGGCATTAGGTCGAGATGAGCTATGGGCCTCATCGCCAGGCTCCTACACTCAAGTTGAGATTAGGAGAGAGATTTCTCGATTCGACCCCTTCGAAGTTAAAGTTATATTTGAGTAGAGTAAGAGAGAGTTGAGTTTTGCGGAATGACTCTAGGGTGTCTGGTGCCATCACGAGTTTTACAGAACAGCTTCAGGGTGTCCGACGTTAAATAATGTGAAGGTTACATGGTCACCTCGTTCGGATTTGAGGTGTCGCTCTGTATTAGTCCGAATGTCCTTTGTCTATTACCACATGGATGGTATCAAAATGTGCCATGAGCGGCTTCCATAGAAGACCTTGCTGCGTACCTGAGTCGAAGAAGGTGATGTTATCAAGCTTGGGAGAGCGGCATTTTTCTTCTAGCCTAGTAATCTTTGGAGTACCTGCTCTCTATCATTGTTTTCTTTCATCGTGGCATGTGTCGTTCGCGGTGGAATCTAAACGGCTGCAGTTGAGTTACGTGTCCCCGTGCCTTACCGCACGTTATAATAGTGACGCGACGCTCTTTCTCGCATCCAACCAAGCCAAGGACGAAGGATAACGCCGTCGCCGCCCCGCTCTCTCTCCCATGCTCCTCGCAAATCGCCACCACCATCACCCAAATCAATCGCGAAATAGCAAGTCTTCCGCTCTTTCATGGCGACCGACGATCACAGGTGGTAGAAGAAGGCGAGATTCGAATTTACCCTCCCACTCCTCGGCGTCGCAATGAAGGCATCCCTCGAGCTCCGGGAGGATCGGAGTCCCCTGTTGCGGGCCAAGCTCCCTTTCACCGCCCTCGGCCTCCCTTTCCTCTCTGCCTTCACAGCCGGCGACCCCCGCGACCTCCGCCTCGACCTCAGCACCGCCTTCGATGCCGGCCCCGTCGTTCGCCTCTCCTACCGCCCCAACGACACCCGCAGCCCCTTCTGTCTCGCCGTAAGGATGGGGACCGGGGTCCTCGGCTCCCCGATCGCCGCCCCCTTCGGCATGTGCGCTGAGTTCAACCCCCTCGCATGGGGCGGAGGCAGCCCCTTCTTCTCCGTCGTTTTCAAGCCCCGCCTCGGCGACTTCTCCCTCAAAAGGATCGCTCGATCCGGATCAGGCACGCCTCCGCCGCAGGCTGGCTTCGGATCCACAGTTCCGGAGAATGGTTTCCACGACGGTAAGAGCGTGAACGGGTTCGGCCCCGGGGTCGCCTCCGTCGACGATGCCCGCAGCCTGCTTTTCGGCACAGAGCTCCGAGCGAGCAGTGTCCTTCCGCTGCGAGGGCCAACGGCCCTGAGGTTCCGCTGGGGGGTAAGGCTGCCGGCGGAGCTCCGCATCGCGAATGGCGAGGACCCCGCGGCGGGAGATGGGATCTCGTTCCGGAGGCTTCCACAGCTCCTGATGACTAAGATCACGATCGAGCACATGGTGGAAGGGAATAAGGCACGGGAACAGAAGAGCGAGTCCGCCACCGGGGTGGTGGCCGAGCCGTGGTCGTCGGTGAAGCAGCACCTGGAGGCGCTGAGGGCAGAGAACGGAGTTCTCAAAAGGGACGTGCGGCAGCTTTGTGCCGAGGTCTTCGCGAGAAGGCAGGCCCCGACATCCGGCGGAGCCCAGGTCAAGGAATGGAGGGGCGTCGAACGGGGCGGCAAGGCTGAGATGAGGCCTCCACCACCATCGGCGCCGACGGACACCAAAGATAGGCGAATCGACGGGAAATCGCTGCGAACTGGAGTCAAAGCGCGTACGGAGGACGTGAACGAGGAGCTGAAGAAGGCGCTGATGGCTGCCACCGGCTCCTCCGGGAAGTGAGCACCAACGTCGAACACTTGATCTGCGCTCTCAGTGGAAGGTTGTTGAATTGTAGATGAGCCGATAAATATGCTACCATGGTTTTCAAAATATACTACCATGATTTCATGTCTGGGCTTATGGATGAAACTGTGTAGTTAATTAGGTGTCTTTAGCGAACTCGAGTAACAGTTCTATGAGATATAATAACGTTCTGATCGGGCTAATTTCTACGGGTCCGGTTCACTTTAAAAAAAAGTTACATTGGATCCTCATAATTAGTAAATTATTAAATTTAATCTTATTTTTAACAATATTTTATTTCATAAAATTCACTGCCCGTTACATAGTACGTTGAGCTGACGGCGATCCCTTCATTGTTTCATTGCTTTGCTTGCTTTGTCTCTCTCCTCAACCCTTGCAATTGCTTCAACCCCAAGCGCTTAAACTTCCCTTCGACTACTGAGGGTTGGTCGCTGGCGGGAGCCACCCGGTATGGAAGTGCTCATGGCGCTGGAACTGACGGTAATGCCTTGGAATATATAGTTGCACAGCATGTCCATCTTAAATCAGCTAACAAGCATACCAGCTGTGCAAGTGGTGCATGCGGATATGGTGATTTAGTTGACTGGCCTCCGTTCTCTTCTATGATAGCAGCAGGAAGTCCTATCTTTAAGTCGGGCGAGGGCTGCGGTGCTAGCTGTCAGGTATCCATTTGCTTCGAAGACGTGCACATCAAACTTTGTTCAAAAGATCGACTTTTTTAACCTTGGTGATCATGGAAGATTCGATGCACGGAGAATGCTGCACGCTCTGGTGATCAAACTTTGTTCAAAAGATCGACTGTTCTCACGAATGAGTGCCCTGGCAAGTCTCGCCGAGCCCGTCCACTTCGACCTAAGCGGCACTGCGTTCGGGGCCTTGCCAAATTCTGGACAATCATATCAGCTTTGCAACGTCGTCGATCTCCAAGTACACTCGGTGACAACTCCTTTCTACTGGTTTGTGCCATCTCAAAGAGGAACTCAGTCCCAACACCAATTAAGATAACACCATTTCACGTGGCATGTTTGTATAAAACTTCTTATCTTATATTCTCTTCAACATGATATCAGAACAGGTGAGACGAGACTCTACGACCATCGAAACTTGTCATTCATCACATCCCTTATCTCTACATAACAAAGAAAAAAAAAATCTTATCTTCTATCAGCAACAACATCTTAATCATGTGAGGCTTTGTACGAATATATTAGTATATGAAATAATCATTTTATCCTTGAATTTGGCATCAATTCGATATCTGATGTCACATCGTAACGACTTCCAAATAAATAGATAGTGTTATTAAAAACGAAATCAAATATAATAATTTATTAATTAATATTTTAATATAATTTTTTAAAATATAAAAATCACGATGCTAACGAGCCCAAGAGCCCAAGAGGAATTACCTGTTGTCATCTGCGTAATCATTCGTTGCCATCATTATTCGTCGTTGCTTTGCTATTGAAGCTATAAAATAATAAGACTTGGAAATGACTAGAAAATCTAGCGCTGTCGACCGACTCTGGGTAATCATGCCTTTAGGTGATCTGGCAAGAAGACGAGTGCATTTTGACCTCGACTCAGAGAAGACAATTACCTCTCCTCCAAATGTTCTGTTCCCAAGGGAGGACATGTTTCTCAATAAGCATCATTTGCCACCATCTTCTGATTGCACACAGAGCCCTCTTCTCATCACCTTCTTCCTCTTGTTAACGCAAGCTATCATCTCAGATACCGCTGCTGACAAGAGCTACTCCAACATCAAACCGGGCCCCCTTCCTCCGAAAGGATGTTGATCCAAAATAGACTCCAGTTTGATTCGATCAAAGTTCAAGTCAAACTTCAAATCGGCCATAATCCAACCAAATCAAGTTCAAGCTCGAATAAACTCAAGGTCTAGATCAAATGCAACTTATGTCTTACTAAGTTCAACTCAAATTGAATTTCGATCGAAGTTTAATTCAGCTCAATTAAAGTTTGACTCGAACACTAATTCAAATCTAACCTAGTCAAACACCAAGCAAGCCCAATCTCAAGATCAAGTTTTGATCATACCAACATCAACTCTAATTTTAGCATAACCAAGCAGAGTTACACTCGGACTGGGAGAAGCCTTACAGCCAAATTGGAGGACAATTAAGGAGGCTGACCCTAGCAAGGGAGAGTCCTAACGGGGTTAGGACTATATCTCTTACAAGCACTAGGAAGGGGAGAGTCCACCCCTTGCTAAACCAGCTGATCCCACCATCTGATTAATCATCGACCTCGTGGTCATTACCCAAATAACCAAAAAGAAAAAAGAACAAATAAATGCATGAGTAGAAAAAGGAGAGAGGGAAGCATAGCCGAAATGGCTTGTACCTCTATTGTCGCTCATCCTTGAAATCCATCAGCAAGCATCGATGGGATTATTTCTGGAGACAGTGAACCACGAACACAGGACTCAATCAGCTGCTGCCAATGTAAAGATAAACTTCGCCATCAGTGACCATACTTCTACAAAAACATGTTCTACTCCTATACAAGAAAATTGAAGCTATATAGTCAAGGAAAATTCATGTACTCACATCTATAATATGATTAAGGATGGAAGGTACTGCTGGTTATAAATGAAGCTAGGATGCAGCTGATGCCTGCTTCTGTAATGAAATTTGCAACAAGGTCAGGAGCATAAACATCAAAACATTAGGCAAAACTTATCACGATAGAAATAGAATACTCCTGATGAACATATAAAAAAAGAAGAGCAATATTGCATCATGACACTTCACATGCTTCAAAGTAGATTAAATACTGTACTTTTAAGGAATTTCTCTTGTTGTCTCATCAGTTTGTAGTTGATGAAAAGCTAACAAGACGAGAGCATAAAACCAATGAGAAAAGTTAAAATGCTTCGATCTAATCAAAAGCTCCATAAATTTTAGAATAGATGGACGGTGAGTTGCACTCCTTTGCAGCTGAGCATAAAATGTTACCATTAGCAATGCACTAAATTTTGCCAAGTTCCAAACCAAGGTAACATGCAAGTTCCTTCATGCAATTTAATTTATAATGAGATTTATCTAATTTACAGTAGACTGTCACGGACAAACTTTGAAACAGGGTGTTTGATGTAATGCTTATGTATGTCCGTGTCTGTTGGCATGTTCATGCCTTGTACAGTGTGTAGAGGGGCAACCGAAGGCTTATAAGTCCCATTTTAGTTGGGTTGGTGGCCTCTTTAGGCTTGTAAATAAAGGTTGTGTCATGTAGACACGTGC